GGAGATCCTAACATATCTTACAGGCTGAGACAACCCCTATGTAAAATTATCAGAAAGAATTTCCTTGCCTGAACACTTATTCTTACATTGAAAATATGGCTACTGTGTTGAGGACACCAAGTTGGACAAGGAATCAGCTCAATCAATTTCAAATAGAACACGATGTGTCCTCACCTACACACCTGTTATGTTAGGGTTCTCTAGAGGGACCAAACTAATAGGATATATATATGCAGGGGAGTTTATTAAGTATTAACTTACATGATCACAAGGTCCCACAGTAGGCTGTCTGCATGCTGAGGAGAAGGAGAGCCAATCCAAGTCCCAAAACTGGAGTCTGACGTTCGAGGGCAGGAAGCATCCAGAATGGGAGAAAGATGTTGGCTGGGAGGCTAGGCCAATCTCACCTTTTCACATTTTTCTGCCTGCTTTATATTCACTGGTGGCTGATTAGATTGTGCCCACCAGATTTAAGGGTGGACCTGCCCTCCCCAACCCACTGACTCAAATGCTAATCTCCCTTGGCAACACCCTCACCCAGGATCAATACTTTGTATCCTTCAATCCAATCAAGTTGACAGTATTAACCATCACACCTGTATAAAGCTATGAAGATATGCCCTTCACCAATGTGGGCAATATTTTTTTTTAAATAAGGCCCAGTTTCTGCCTTTAGGATTGAAAAAGTGAGACATCAGTAAACAAGCAACACCCTCCCAAGGAGTTGGAACTACAGATGTATGCCTCTGTTTTATTTTTCATAGAGACTGGGTCTCATTAAGTTGCCCAACTGGTCCCAAACTCCTGACCTCAAGTGATCCTCTCACCTCACCCTCTCAAAGTGCTGGGAATACAGGTGTGAACCACCATGCCCAGCCTCCCTTTTCTTATCAGGACAATTGTTGAACTAATGTCCACCCTAATTTCCTATGACCTGGTCTTCATTTGCTTATATCTGCAAATACTCTGTTTCTAAATAAGGTCTCATTTACAGATATTGGGCATTACGTCTTGACTTTATCTTTTTGGGGACACAGTTTAACCCATAACACCATGTTAAGAAGTTTAGACTTAATCCCACAAGTGCAGGGAAATGGAAGAGGTTTTCCATAGAAGACTAATATGCATATTTAGATTTTCCCATTAGAAAGGCCACAATGATGATAATGAGCAAGGTGGATGGAAGGGGAGGGTGACAGACTTGAGTCAAGAAAACCACCTAAAAGGTGAGGTGGTCGTTCAGGTGAAAAGATTTTAGAAGGTGGTTTTACTTATCCAGCAGAGAGGAAAAAGTGCTGTATGAAAACAGTGATAATGGGATAGAAGAAGGAGCAATACGAGAGGTACAAAAAAAGCCAAACCCACTAACTTGGTGACTGACTTGGAAGTAGGGGGTAAAAGAGAGGAGGAGACAAGGTTGACACCAGCTTCTAACTTGGATGACTGGGCAGATGCCACTAATCAAGGGAGTAAACACAAAAGCAAACAGGCTTGGAGAAGTTAACAAGTTTGGCTTTGAACATGTGGAGTTTGAGGTTTCTGTGGGATCACCATATGACAGGAGCGCCATATGATATGCCCAGTAGACAGGAGCGCAGGGCAGGAGCCCACAACAGTGTAGGAGCTGGAGATGTGCATTGGGAGTCGCCAATATGCACAAAGCACTGGGATTACAGGCATAACCCTGATAATTCAATCAGGAGAGTAAGTGGGGTAAAAAGGAAAGTGGTATGTAGGGAGATCCCTGGCCAACATTGAATTTAAGGAATAAGCTGAGGAATAAGACTACATAAAGGAAGCAGAGAAGGAATAGTCTAATTGGTAGATGATTCCAAGAAAGAGAAGAATAATCTAATTGGTAGACTGATCCAAGAAAGAGAAAGGAGTCACAGGACCAAAGTGACCCTAAGTTTAATCAACTGGCCCTTGGCATCTCACTCCCTGCTGTGTTATTCTGTATTACAGGGGCTAAAAGACTAATAGTTGTATTTTCAGACTCCCTTGCAGCTAGATTCTATGTAACTAGGTTCTGCCAATAAGATATACCTGGAAGGTGGATGGGAGACAAAGGCCTTCCTTCAGCCCTGGAGCTGGCTGACAGGCAAGCTCTAATACATGCTAGTGTTGCAGAGGCCAGATTCTCCTGTCTAGGCACTGGCTTTGTGGGCCTGGGTGTCTGTGAAGGTGGCAGTGATGACAGCAGCAATTTTTTTGCTCTGATTGCACCTGCAATGGTAACTCTGAAGCTCTATCCTGGCAGTGGCATCCCTATTTCTGCTCCTGCAGCTCTCCCAGTGGCTTTGCAGGCATATGATTCCCTATATTTCTAAGACAACTAGATGGTATTTCCTAAGAAGAGTAACTACAGAAGAAGTTTTCTACAGCTAGCACTGCCTTATGATAGATATAGCTGGAAGGAAGGAGGGAGTCTATAGTAGTACATACTATGAGTCCAGTATGACAAAAACTGGAAAATCCCAGAAGTCCCCACTGAATCTGATGACAAAGTGGTCGGTGAGAGTGATTTCCATAGATTGGTGAGGGCGAGATCTCAACTGTTGTGGGGTGGGTAAGTTAAGTAGAGGGTGAGGTAGCAGAAACGACTGAAGCTTTTAAGATGCCTGGCTGCCATGAAGGCTAGTTGGAGGAAGGTACAGGGCTGAGGAAAGATGTTTAAGGCATTGAGATGTGTGCCTGATTATATGCTGAGGGGCAGAAGTCACTGGGAAAGGTGGGTGTTTGTTCACTGAAACAATGGAATCTGCTGGAAAGTGAGTTGGAGAAATAGACTCAAGGCTGCTTCTGGAACAATACCCGAAACCATGCTGCAGAATTAGCCTGTTGAGGAAACCACCATCAATGTCACCATTAAGCACCAGGCACCAGAATCTCAGCCTCCTTGTCCCTGACATTGTCACCACCACGGAGGCTTTTGCAGATGTTACCAGGGCAGTCCTGGAGAAATAGCTGAGAAGGTAAAACAGCTGAAAAAGCTCATTATTTTCTTAAGCTGTAGGTAGCTGAGAAGGCTCAGTATTGTTTCTCAAACAGTCTGCTTTAGTCCCTTAATCTCTAGCTATGCTCATTTACATTTACAAAGACATCAGATGGGCTGGGCACTTCAGGACTCTTCATCACCATCAGAGGAAGCGAAGGCCTGCTCAAAACCAGAGCAAACCAGAACCAGCAACTCCTGTGACCTTCAGATCATTAACACGTCATTATAACATTAAAATCCCTACGTCTGGAACATGGCCACCATTTCCTGAACATGAATCCTAGGAAGAGGCATGCTCATGATCTGCGCCTGCACATCTAAAGTTCCTCCCAGCACATACAAACCTCCCGCCCCCTATCTAACTCCTTAAAATTCCCACAGCTCAGAGAGGAGGAGGTGACTTGGGAGCAAGTGCTCATTCCTTCTCCTTCTCTAGCCATAGAATAAATCCTGCTTGCCTTTTTTTTCCCTGTTGGATGTTCTTTCTTTGCAACCAATAAAAAGCAGGGAAAGAACTCAGTTTAGTGATGACAAATGAGGCATCCTGCACAGGATGGAGGAGCTGAAGATGCAGGAGAGGATCATGCTCCTGGAGGTGATGGATTAGGGCAGGGAGGTCTGAACCACAGGTGGATGACTACCCTTGGCTGGTGGGAGGGACAGCTTTCATTTGATGAGCCAGGAAGAGGAAGTGTGATAATAATAGTGATGATAACAGCAATGACAAGAAGGCAGAAGAGCCGCGGCCATGATGCAGTCTATTTGGCGATGTCCAGACTGTACATTAAATACACAGTTAAGTTAGTTGCCCATCAGTTGCTGTTTCTGCTGATTGATTTGCTCTTTCCACGAGTCGCTGAGGGGTAATTTGGGCAGTGCCTTACACACTGAAGCCAGGCTCTGGATGAAACGGCACCTGCCTGACACCTAAAGTGGCATGTCACTATGAGCCAGGAAAAAGGGTAAAAGCTGTCAGGCTTTTTTAAATGAGGGAAGGCCAGGTCTCAGAGCTCCGAATTTGTTCTAATGGCCTTCTCTGATCAGAACCCCACCAAGGGGCAGTGACAGGCAAGGGGTGAGTCTCGGAGTCTCGATCTGCCCTGGGAAAAAGTTGTAGGCTGGGTTTAGAGCACGGGCAGTGAAGGACATTTCTGCTCCCAGGCCCGCAGTGCCAGGGGCACCCTCCTAGGGGCCATGGGGGCTGGCTCTACTCTAGAGCAGATAATATGGTTGTGGGTCCTTTCTATTGAAAGACACAACCAAAACTCAATGGGCCCAGCACCCTCTGTAAGTAACTCCTTACAGAAATCCTAGCTTCTACCCAAAATGTCCCACAGAGAGGGCCCACTTCCTGCAAGGTCTGCCACAGGCCTCTTCCCAGGCCTGGCCTGCACCCTTCAAGCCCAGTCTCTGCCAGCCTGGCCCAGCTCACTAGAGCCATCCCATGGAAGCCAGTCTCTGCCTTCTCGGGACGACGAGTCACTTGGGGTTTTTTAGATTATATATAGGCTTACTAATAAATAATTTTAAAATGCCACCATCTTGTAATTCTCAGCAATAGCTCTGACCTAATTTTCACCACAAATTGTTTTCCTGGAGCTTTGGAAAATCAGCCACGTGAAGACTGGGTTATTTATTTACGTGAATACGAGAAACTGTCTTGCCGTCGTTCCTCAAGGAGTCTTGATTGCTTTCGTGGAGAGAGGGTATATTAAAATGACCGTGGGGGAGGACACGCTTGACCTTGACCCCGGATGGTCAGCCCGGCATTCTCGCAGGCAAGGCACGGGAGGAGAATGCTGCTTCCACAGAAGGAGCCCAACCCAAGGGCTGGAAAGTGAAAGAGAATCTCATTTGGAATTACCAAGGTCACCGACATCAACAAATAACTCCCAGCTGCCTCCCATTCTTCTCAAAAACTCATCTAGTTTTTCTTAAGCTTTGATGTAAAAGTTGTCTCCCTCGCGGCTCTGCATGACTGATGGGCAAACCTCATTCTTACCTGCAGTGGAATAAAATTGGCTCTCCTTGATGAAAGACCGCCTGGGGCGTGGGCAGGCCCTTGTCTTGCCCCCCTTCTCCGCGTTCTGGAGGGGCACGCAGGCTGGCTCAGAGTCTGACGTGAAGAAGTGCTCAAAGTAATTGCTGAACTGAATTTGAATAAGTTCCCCCATTTTCTTCTAAAGTCCCCAAAGATGGTCCAATTCAATGACAAGCCTCGGGGGACTCCAGGACTCCTAAGGCAGTGCTCCCCTAAACCCTGCTGCTCAAAGTGTGGTCTGCAGACCCGATGCTTCCCCCTGGGAGTTCATTAGACATCCAACATCTCAGGTACCATCCCAGACCTGGAAAACCAGAAATCCCACTTCTAACAAGAGCCTCGGGTGGTCTCAAGGCGTTTCAAGTGCAAGAAGAAGCACTTTAGGAAGGCCGCCCCGGACCTCGCGGGCACAGGTCCACAGCCTCCGCACTGGCTCACTCGGAAGGTGTTTACACAGCACTGCCTTCCTCAGCTCCAGCTGCCATGAGCAAATACCACGGACGGGGCGGCTTCAACAACAGGAATGTATTTTTCCACTGCTCTGGCGGCTGGAAGTCCAAGAGCTGCAGCAGTAACGCTTTCTTCGGAGACCTCGCTCTCGGCTTGCGGAGGCCTCATCTGGCTGCGCGCTCACCTGGTCTGCCCTGTGGGCGGGCACCTACGGTGTCTCTGTGCGTCCAAACCTCCTCAGCAGGAACCAGTCTGATTGGATCGAGGACCCCCCTAGCGGCCTCGTTTTAACTTCATCACCTCTTTAAGGCCCTATCTCTAAATACAGTCACGTTCGGAGGTACTGAGAGTTGAGGCTTCCACATGTGAACTTAGTGGGAGACATGATTCCGCCCATAACAAGCATTTACCACACCAGATGCTGTGCTAGACCTGAGGTCGCAACCATGGAGGAAGCCAATGTGGGTCCTGCCCTCGTGCAGCCTGAAACTCCTCCCTGGCCGTGACTGCTTCTCGTCTTAGCTGCCCTGACCATGGCGTCCAACTGGCCTCTCACTCATTGTTATGTCCTGCAGGTCTGACGGGTTGAGCCGTCTACACTGGCCGCTTCCCCAGCCTGGAGGAGAAGCAGCTAGTTCCCTCACTCCTCAGCAGTGGGGAGTGTGTAAGTCCATGTAGACATCACCCAAGGGGAAGATCCCCTCCCTTGTGAACAATGGCTTTCCCAGCTTTCCAGCTTGGCCAGTTCTGTCCTACAAAGCCGAGCATACACCAGGCTGAGTCTTATTTATCACATCCACACGCCCAGCACACACCTGGTGTTCACTCATTCACGCACCTCACACTCCTGAGCATCAGCTCTGGCCAGGCTCTGAGTGAGCAAAGCCCAGCCCTTACATCATGAAGCTTACAGACTATGGGAGAGTCATTAACCAAAAACCCACAGGCTCTCGCACATTTCCCCGATAGATATTACCCAGGGTCTACTCTTGCCAGGCATGATTGCAGTCCCTGAAGATACAGTGGAGAAGAAAACCAAGCCTCTTCCCTCAGAGCTTATGTTCTAGAAGGATGTAAATGTGTCTGCTGTGTCATTAAAAAAAAAAAAGCCCACTTCCACAAGAGCACCTAACGAGAATCTGACTCCATCAGAGTTCAAGAAAGGCTTCTCTGGAGAAGTAAGCATCTTCCTATCCACCCCCTTCATTTTTTTTTAACATTTTAAGATAACATTTATAATAGTTTTAGATTTATTTTTAAAGTTACAAAGATCATAATAGAGGGTTTCCCATATAACCCACACCCAGTGTCTCTATTGCTGACATTAACATATACTTTTATTATAATAAATAAAACATATTGATATATCATTGTTTAGCTAAAGTTCATGCTTCACTACATCATATCAAAAATACATAATAACAACATGAGTTATGACCGTTGATGTGGACTTCATCACCTGGTCATAGTGTCCATCAGCCTTCTTCACTGCAAGGTTACTCTTTCCCCACCTTTCCAAATTGTACTTTTTGGAAGGAAGTCACTCTGGGAATCCCACACTTAAAAGAGTGAGGAATTACATTCCACCTTCTTGAGGGTGAAATAGCTACACAGATCACTTGGAATCATTCTGCATGGGAGACATGTCTGTCTCTCCCCCGGCATTTATTCACTCTGGACCGGTGGATCGCTATTTTATGCTTTGGGTCCACACTGATTTTGTTACTCAAGTTGTCCCAGCTTCGGTTATTGGGAGCTCTTTCAGTCAGCTCCTGTGGCTCCTTGACACCCTCACACACCCACCACTGTGAGATCTTTTTTTTTTTTTTCTTTGCTTTCTACCCCAGTCATAGAATCAACCGTTTCTCCAAAGAGCCCTGGTTCTTTTACTGGAGAATGCTAGTAGAAACCACGACCCGGACTGCAGTCCTTCAGTGCATATTTCCTTCTGTTCATTCTACAGATTCAGCTACTCCTATATTAGAGTTCCATTAGCACAACTGCCTAATTGAGGATGAAATTTGTTTTCCTTATCTTTTCCCTTGATGAGAAGAACAAGCATCTTTTCTTATAATTTTAGAAGCTACTTATTTAGCTGGAAAGAACAGTGAAACTATGAAACTCAACCTTCTATACTAGTCTGGGAGTTTCAGATTTAATATAGTCAATTAAAATAGATGGTTTTGTACATCAGAGTATGCATAGGTCACTTTAAAAGATACGAAAATAAATAATAACTTAAAACTCCATCAAAAATTTTACATTCAAAAGAAGAAAAATGTTGAAGTTGTTTTAGATTTCAATTAAAAGATGACATTTGGAAAAGGGGGAAAAAAGAGAGGAACGGATATCTGAGGCTAGATATGCTCATTGCTGCTGGGTATCATCGTTTCTAGGCGCCGGCCTGTTTATTTTTCATAACATTAACTCTTTTGAAGAAGTCGGCCAGTTATCTTGTAAAAATTCTCATATTCTAGATTTAGCTAATATTTCATTATTATTAGATTCAGGTTAAACATTTTTGGCCAGAGGACTTCATTGGTGAAGTTGTGTCTTTCTTATTCATGTCACTGGGAGGCACACCACGTCAGGCCGTCTCCACCAGGAAGACTAAATGAGATCACTTGGTTAAGGAGGTATCCACCAGGCCTCTCCATGTAACAACACAGCTTCCGTTGGTAATATGAGGTGGTCTGTGGGGAGATACCTGGAGACCATGTATATATGTACGTGTGTGTGTGTGTGTGTGTGTGAAAGAGAGAGAGAGTTCATAATTATGACTCTAATTCTATGCCACATAAATCCTTCTTCCCTAACTTTTTATTTTGAAAAATTGCAAACAGGAGATATACACACACACACACACACACATTCTGTTTCTCAATAATCTTCCCCCAATGGTTTTAGCAGCCACTGAGGATCCGTAGCTTGAATCAATTACTGTATCAGCAGTTGCAGAATGGTCTTTGACTAATTCTATCATTCCTTAGAATTAATTCAGTTGTTCGTATGTCATTAGCTGGTCCTCTTCTAGGAAGTAAGTTCTGAGGTAAAAGCTAAAAGATGATTAGGTGACACGGGCCTGTAGTCCCAGCTACTCAGGAGACCGAGCAGAGGGTATTACGTAAGCTGAGGAGTTTGAGACCAGCCTGGGCAACATAGCAAGACTCCATCTCTTTAAAAAAAAATTCTTTTTTAAGATGAGGAGGCCTTGACCAAGTAGATGGTCAAGAAGTGATGCATGTGCAAAAGCTAATGCATTTGCAAGAGAAAAATGGTAAATTTGAAAGACTAGGGGACAAAGACCAATGTGTTGCCACACAAGCAATAAAGAGTGGTGTGGACAAATCAGGCTGCAGGCACAGGCAATAGTTAGAGCCTGTGGGGTCTCCTAAGCCGTATTAGGATGTTTGATTTTTATATTAAGAGAAATAGTGAACTACGACATACTTTTGAGCACTAGAGTAACCTGATCGCATTTGAATTTTTTAAACATTTTGTCTGGGGGTGGAGAATTAATTTGAGTGAATGAGGAAAGGGGGGAAGTCAAGGAGGAAGCCACCGCAGTAGTCCATGCAAGAGGTAAGGCAGCTCGAAGTGTAGCGAAAGAATTAAGAGACAACCAAGAAGCCAGGTTAACAGGTTGGATAATGGATCTCGTATGGGAGGAGGGAGGATGATTTCATGGAAGCCCAGGGAAGAGGGTGTTGAAGAAGAAGGGAGGAGTCAACTGGGTTGAATGCTACTGAAAGACAGCAGAATGAAAATAAAGAAGTTCTGCGGGATTTAATGATGTGGTGAACTTTTTTTTTTGAGACGGAGTCTTACTCTGTGGCCAGGCTGGAGTGAAGTGGTGCAATCTCAGCTCACTGCAACCTCCGCCTGGGTTCAAGCGATTCTTCCGCCTCAGCCTCCGGAGTAGCTAGGACCACAGGTGCGTGCCACCACACCCGGCTAATTTTTTTTTTTTTTTTTTTTTTTTTTTGTATTTTTAGTAGAGATGGGATTTCACCATGGTCAGAATGGTCTCGATCTCTTGACCTCGTGATCCGCCCGCCTCGGCCTCCCAAAATGCTGGGCTTACAGGCGCGAGCCACCACCGCGCTCGGCTGATGTGGTGATCTTAATGAGAGCTGTTCAGGTTGATTAAAGAGGGTTGAGTCATGAATAAAAGGTAAGAAAATGGAGATGTGCAGGTAAGTCATTCTTTGAAAAAGTTTGGCTTTTAAGAAACTTTTAAGTTTCTGTTTTACGAAAGAGAAGCAGCTGGAATGAATGTGGAACCAAGGCACTGTTGGGAAAGTGTTTAGTAAATATTTGTGCAATTCCAGAATTAATCTGTAAAAAGAGAGAACCTGAGTAATAGCACTTCGTGTAACTATAAAACAATAAATATAAATGCACTGGTTTGCTTTTAACATTGGGAAGACGGCACAGAACTATCCGTTTCTGAAGTGGAGAAAAAGAGTCCTACTGTTTGCTGGTGAGTCACACATAGAGTCAAGAAAGCGTTTTGAGCATTAGAGTAACCTGGTCATATTTGAATTTTTTTTAATGTTATTGAAAATATGTAAATAGTATTTAAAATTATACACAGCAGCCCTTTCCTGCATGCACAAGTTCACTCCAGGACATTTTTGCGTCCATTCTTGCAAAGAGTCCTAACTATATCCCCAATCTAGGACCAGATTTTATGGAAAAAAAAAAAATTTGGTTTGGCTGCTGGGTAGTGGTGGTTTGGTTTGGACCATATGGGTCGTGTGAATTCCCTACTCAAAACTCAGGTGAAACATGCTCTTGTGGTTATGGATTTGGGGGAAGGAGGGTCTCTTTTGATCCACTCAAAGACAAACAAGCTTCCTTCATCTTTCTGTGCCAGTGCACAGATTTTCCTACTCAAACCTTTTGCTGAGGGCATCGCCATTTAAGTGTCTGGATTAAAGGATGGGTTTGGCTCATTTGAAGCTGTCTTTTTCATCAGCGCATAGCCTCAAGTCCTATCACCAAATAAGCATTAAAATCTAAGTTTCTGGGCTACAGAGACTGACAGCCTTCTTTGCCCTCCTCTTTCCTAACCCAGGTAATAAACAAGAGCTTGCCATTCTCATTTTTAGTTTTCTCACTGTTTCTAGAACCAAAAGAGTTCTTCTGTTTCTCAAAAAGCTAGCTAGTCATTAAAAAAAAAAAAGGATTCTTT